TGCAGCAACCACTGCATCAGAGTGAGGAGATGCAGCTTCTGCGGCAGCAGCAGCAGCAGCGTGTCCAGGGGATTCACCTACAGCAGGCGGGGCAGCAGCTATCGCTCCTCCTGCCGCTACTTCCTCTCTTTTCTGTCACTTCCCGTCTGTTTTCATCGCTCAAAAACGACGACCCCCAGCACGTCAAGGTATGCTGCTTCTGCTGATACTGCTGCTGGTGCTGCTGCAGTTGATGCTTAGTACGCTGCACAACTAGCCTAGGGTTGAGGGTTTACAGCTTCACGGCAACGTGTAGCGTGTCTGTAACCACACACCCCTGGCCTTGTTTTGCTGCTCTTTGATTTGCTGCGCGCATCATTGGAAAATGGTGGTGGTGTGTTCCTTTTATTTATCTTCTTCTAGCCCTGTTTCACGAGTCCTTAGTTTCGTGTTGGTTTGTTTATCTCTTTGATTCTTCTTGCCTGCACTCTTGCCTCTGCTGCGTGTGTATCTTCGTCAATGCCGTGCTTTGATTCTATTTGTATTTCCTGTTTGATACTCTGCCGGCCTCTGTTTGATAGTATTTTCACGTTCTAGTAAATCTTTTTATTTAAATAATTTATTATCACCGAATAATTTAAATTGTAAGACAATCAGTTCTAAGAAAATTTTTTAATTATATTTATCGTTGAGTTTTTGAAGTAGAAATTGCGGTGTGGTTCATTTTCCTCGATTCCACTTCTGTTTTTTATCCGCACTCCATCTTCATCTCCTTGCTGCCGTTGGTATGTGTGGCGTCCATTTTGCAGCTGGCAGCGGATATCGGAGGCCTATGGCGGGTCTGCGGGTATGGGGTGCCTCCGGGGACTCCTCAGCGCACAGCGACAGCTGCAGCTGTTGCTGCTGCTGCTGCTGCTGCAGCCCAGTTCGTATCATTTTTCAACCCGTTGCGTAGCGGCCTGCAGGAGGCGCTAAAGGGAGGACTCGCCGCTCGTATTGGCGATTCTTGCACTGCTGCTACTGCTGTTGCTGCCCTCGTAGAGGTATGCG